GGGTTAAAGATCGTTCTTAGTACACAACAATGTACCATTTATTCACTAATCCTTCAAACTTAATTCCTGAAATGTCAAAAGCATTTCACAAGCTAACAACATTGGCAGCATTAAGCTTTCTGTTCTGCCCAAAGTGCCTGTGAAACAACAGACAGAAGTTTTCATTTCTTTCTGGAAGCCACCAAGGTAAGTGTTAGTTTCATCTGGCTGTGGCACTGATTGCTTACAAGGTCATTTGAAGGAGAAATTCAACATGCTGAAGCACTAAGAGAAAGATCAGGTGGTCCTTGCAAATACTGATGGAAACATACTGTGCTTCCATACAGAAGGACGTACTGCTATGCCTGTTTTCATGATTGAACTGAAACGAAAGTTCAGATGTGCATATTTCTCCAAAGAAATACGCGGCAGGACAGGAAGTCAAGCAGAGGTCCTTGTTGCTAGCTGCTTCCTTTAGTCTCTGGGCTCTACTTCCAGCCAACCTTTGCTGTTGCCTATGGGACCTCAGTACCCCACTGATATTCCAGACGATGGTTTGAAAGCATTATTGAAGCAGTGCTCTCTTCTAAGAAACCTGTGTGTAAAATTAATGGTATAACAATTTAGAGAAAAGAAACTCCTCCCATGGAAGGAGGCCTACCTCTCTGACCACCACCTAGGAAACCTCATTTGAGCAGAAGCAGCATTACCCAGTTCCTATCCACATTCTCCAAAACATTTCAGTCAAGATTACTGATTCTTTCTGTGTACCAGTGAAGATGATAAACTTACAGAAACCCAACTTGTTATTTGGTTAGTCCTATCCATTTACATGTCTCCATGGCAGCATGGCATCTTGGAGGATTCAATCATCCTCACAACCAAATTTTCCAACTAAAGTTGTCATAAGTACATCTTTTTTATGATTCTTGTGCCTCAGGTCACCAACAACTCTTCACAGTTATATTCGTATCCAGAAAATTTACCCTCCTCTTACCCAGGAAAGAGTTCATTTAGCTGGAACGGTGTACAGCTATTTTGTTGAGAGATGCCCACCTTTGCAAAAATATAAGTATGCTGCCTTTGCAGGTAGTGACAAAGGCACGCACAGGTGTGTAGCAAGAGGTTACTTTAATGTGCCTTTGAGTTTCAAGGATTAAGAAACAGGCTCAAACGCTTTTTGAAGTTTCATCTTTCATTGAATCCCTTAATCCCTCCAAGCTTGGCACCATTTCTCACTCATTTGTTTATGTTTTAATCTAAAGTTTCTCACTTGAGAACCACATTGACCTTTTGATTAAACCTGAGGCTGTGAGTGATAGTGCAGCTGGGAGTTTTGTTCCAGCACTTCATGCTTCTCATGACTTGCAAAGAGAGCAGGGAGCTTGCACACCAGCACTGCACAAAGCTGATCACATCCATGGCAGATGATTTTAGCTTTGCTGGTTGTGTCACTGGACCTGAATGCTCATGAGCAAAACAGTCATAGAAAACAAAGGATCTGACACTGAAGGATCAATACCTGAGCAATGCTGTTCATCCTTGTGGGTTAATGTGGCAAACCCTACTTTGGATTGCAGTGCTTGGAGGTAACAGCAGCAGGTTAGAGTCTGACCCACAAGAGCTGTCTTAGAGGCTGTATTCCTTCGTTGGCTTCATTGAGGAGTAGTGTGTGAAAGCACAGGGATGAAAAGACTCAACTTTGCTGCTGCTACTTTAATAGGATATTACCTTCAAGATGCATCTTAGAAATCAGAATGACAAACAGTGACCTCTAAAAAGAAGCATTGTCTACAGCAGGACTTTCAGTGGAATTTGTTTTGCAGGAGGTTGTCACAAGGCTAAAGGGGCAGCTGGGTTTCAGCCGCTGCAGCAGCATAATGAACCACTGCAATTATGCAAAGACAGCAGTAAGTGTTTTTTAACCTTATGGCTCATATGATCAACTGATTGCCTGTGGAAAAAAATCCCCTCACAACACTCAGAATTGTGTGGGTGCTTTCTGCAGGGTTTCCCCTTCACAACATATATTTACTGCCTTTTCCCCTGCTTTCTTCTGCCATGGTAGATTCAGGGTAAGAGATGTGACCTGTACAAAATTCTTATGCCATGTTTTGCTTCCTTGTACTTGCCTGTAAAAATTACCCATAATTTAATCATACAGCACCTTCCATTCAGAAATTTCACAAAGTGACTACCATAAAATCGTACATGATGCCCAAAAAGAGAAAAGCTCAGGTATCACTAGAAAGATATCCAAAATCCTCATTTCTGATCACTGTATCTTCCAGCCAACAAAATGCCAGGCTCCTAGCACAACACTTAGCCTCAGTAGGAATTAAGGAGTCACCCTTCCTCATCCACCATGCTAGAGGCATCCAAATATGCCAGCATCTCTAGAACACAGCCATGCAAGAAGACTTCAGCCAAGCCTGCTGCAGGGCAAACAGCCTTTCAGTCCTGTGGTGCTAGTACTACAGCACTCATTCAGGACACAGGTTGCAGAATCTGACATTCTCCCTCTGCCCATGGACCCCACATCTCTCATTGCTTATGAGTCAGCTATGCTTTATCCCACTGTTCATTTATTCAGTCTAACTGAGGGGATTTCAAACTGCATGCACTAACTCATTAAGCTGCAATAATACCCTGAGTTGAAGAATAAGGATTGCTTTACAGGCTTCTACTTAGGGCAATGATCTTCAATAAAAGAGACACCTCAAGCTAACAAAGCCACAGATTCTACAAGGTGTGAAGACAGGTATAACTTTCCATATTTACCTAAAGCACAGTTCTCATGAATGAAGGTCTTTTAGGCTCTTGTGAATAAGAAAGGAAAGTTGACCCCACCTTAAAAATGATTAAATATATTGTTCAAAGACACAGAGATTTGTTAAGAAAAGGAATCTACTGTGTATGTGCACATCTTCAAAACAATCTTTTCTTCCTACAGCTTTCAGTTAGAGGCGAAAAAAATTCAGGGGGGATCAAGTGGGGAATATGTATATAACAGCTTCTAGATCAGAATAAATTTTAGATCCTGAGACATGAGCACCTTCAGTGCAGACCTCTACGTGAACATTGACCACTTAGACTTCTCAGAGAAGCTAACATTTTTTTCTCTCCTTGCAGAGGTTTTATGGTCCCTGTTAACAAGTGAAAGGTATTTTAAAAGGGTGATAATTTTTATAGCACTTATTTGATTGCTACTATTGTTTTCCAACCATTTCTGATCTATGCCATTGTTCCCTAACTTCTCTAGGTTAAATCTGTAGAGGGAATTCCCATCATATTTTAAAGGTCAAAGACACCGTTGGTTTTTCTTCCCTTAAAAAGAAAACAACTGAAAGCTGTATGCAAGCGTTGTGATTCTTAATTCTGTGGATAAGAGAAAACAGCTCTCATTCTATCTGGCATTGTTTAGAAAGAATACATCCACATGATGTTGTTAAATGGAGCAGCTGCCCATTCATGTTATCTAAAAGTGGGAGGTGGTTAAGCAGTTACAATAAGAACAAGAGCTGAAAAGTAGAAACATTTCATCATCCTGGTAAGCTGGATTACAACCTAAGAGACCAACACCTGTGGAAAGCCCATGTTGCTGCTTCCTTTCTGTCAAGCAATAGAGGCCAACAGGCAGAAGAGAAAGCAGTAAGTTCTCCCATAGCATGGTAAATCCCAGCACTTGTACTACAACGTATACAAACCCTCTTCTTCAGCAAAATGAATCCAGCAAAGACAACTTTGCTGTGGAGAAGTAAAAGCATTCTCTTGGACTAGATAAAGAACCAGGGCCTCCTCCCATGTACAGCTATGAACATAAACACCTATTTCTGGATCCAAACTCAAAAAGCCAGGTGCTGCCCAGTCTCTCCCACCAAAGTTTGGTTTTTCCTCAATGCTTCTTTTGCCTCCAGTTTTGATTCTAATATTGAATACATTCAGTTATGACTTCACAAAAAGAAGTCTCACAAAAGTAGAGTATACAAATATTTAACAGACAGTGATCATCCCAACTAATGCCAAGGAGGCTGTCGGTACTACCACGGTCCTGCAACACTACCATATTTGGCAGAGAAAATCTCTAGAACATGAGGGAATTTCCAGATACACATCCCAGAAGTTTCTACATATTCCAGGGAAAGTCTGAGAAGCCTTATTCAAGCATGCTGTTAATTGTATCATAGCTAATAGACTCCTCCGTCTCTTGTCAGTAATACTGGTTCTAGGATTAAACAAGAACATAGACAATCTGTATCTCTTCAGGAGACTGCAAAAACTGCTGCAGCTCAGTGTATGCTATTGTAATGCTGGAACACAACCAAAAACACAGCAATAAAAGCATAGAGGCAAAGTCCTAGGCTGCAGCAGCTACAGGCAGAGAAACAAACGAAAAAACATCCACTCACCCTTAGAAAGCCTCAGGAAGGCAAAGATCTCCAGCAAAACACCCACACCTCCACTGCCAACCCTTAAATGAGGTCTGGTGGATCCTGGTTCCACCCCTTCCAATCACTCAGGTACATTGCATACACCTGAGCTCCCCTGGGTTGGCCCTGCCTTCCCACCAGGTGCTCAATCACTGCTTCAAGCCTTGACTGAGCATTTCTGCTACAGCTTTAAAACCCAGAAAAATCTGGCTCCTGCTTCTAGTTGGTACTGAGAATTGTGGTGCTATTAGCAATGAGGAGGTCTGTGCAAAGTTGGATCATAGCTTGGTTGCAGTGCTGCAAAGGGTAGGCCCACCGAATCACTGTCAGAATCACTGCAGGAAAATGTTGAGGCTTGAAGTATGTTCAGAAATGCAGAAATTCCTCTTGCTGGAAGAAGTCTGGGATAGTCCCCTGTTCTTGCTGTGAACTGCTTTCTCCCGTGATGGCCATGGAACAAATTCACTGTCATTTTAAGGGTCTGAATAGTACTGTGCTAGCCCAGATACCTAAGAAATTCTGTATGCAATCACATCACAGCAGTATCTCAGGCTAGTTAAATGCCTAGACTTCCTGAGCAATGTTGCTTACCCTCACTGCAGGTGTCAGCGTGGGATCTCTGATGACAGCAACAGTGGTGTCACACACTTGAAGAAGCAGTGATGCAATATTTACTGAATGTATTTGCTGAATGTCACTAAACCTCCAGATGTTTCTTCCTTTTATAGTCCTTCAGAAGTATATAAGGATTTGTGGAGTGATCTCTGTGAAAAAAAAAAATAATGGTTAAATTCACATAGTCCATAATTTTGTTAACTAGAATGTAGTTTTCCAATAAATATGTTTCTGGATAGACGTCCCAGAAATTTCTGCATATTCCTGGGAAAGTGGAGTGATTCTTGTCTGGAGGATCTACACATCCAGTCATAAAGATGTGATGCATTTGTTGTGTGATGCCAGTTGGTTCTGAATAGAGAAAACAGAGTTAATAATCAGTTTTTCTGCTGCTGTAGCTGGAAGAAGAAAGAGATTTGCATGTACTTTAAGTATTATTCCTTGAAAAGAGCCCTCCACGCTGTTCCAAGAAATCTCATCCATTGTGTACATTACCTATAAATGTATAGTTAATACTTATCTTTAATTTTAGAGACTGCTTGTGTGGGTATTTTTGCTAATGTATTCTCTGTTATGCTGTCATATAACCTTAATGCTGCCTCTTTTCTTAAAAGGCTGCTAGAGGCCCTTCCTCTTACCTTGCCCATTTAGTTAGTGTTCTGTAGGAAAAGACACTCAGATTAGTTTTGTATCAGGATGGAAGAGGACATGAGGACATTATGGTCTCAGACATCCTGAGATCTCGCTTTCCCCTGATACCTGGTGCTTCACTGCTCCTTGATGCTTCCGTTGACATTTTGACTGGTGCTCCAAAGGGAAAATCAGCAAAGGGAAATCTCCCTTCTCTACAGGCAGTGCGGAGCTCACTGGGATGGGCTATGCCTGGGAGATGTGTCCCCCAAGATGCACACCATTAGGCCATGTAACACAGGAGTGTATTCATGGCAACCTCTGTTACGGCAGGGCATCTAGCTGGCATTGTTTGGTGTTCGTTAATTCAGAGTGGAGGAAATGGAGTTATTTGAGTTTCTACTGCTGTAGCTGAAAGAAAAAAAGCCTAGATTAGTATTTATGGTAAGTTTTATTAACCTGGCTTCACCAGCACACTCTCCAAGCCATATAATACAAGTCAAAGTCTCTTTGCAGTCACTCAGATGATTACAAGAGATAAAAAGCAATAATGGGTCATAAACTGAGGGAATATGAGACAAACACCACTTAATAGACTGTGAACGAAGTTCATTGTAGCCAGTGGAAATCTGAGCTGCATTTGAATCAGAACCGCCTTGCTGTGGAAATCCCTAGTGTCCATTTGCACTTGTCAGCAACGTTTCTCTGATCAGCCTGCAAAGCTGAGTGAGTGGCACTTTTATTAAAAATTGTGAAAGATGATGTCACGGGCTAATCCAGTAATAACTTCTTCCTGCTACTCTCAGGAGCCCAGTCAATCTTCTTTAAACCTGCAAAGTCTTTGTTCATGTTCTGAGCACCGAGGCTCAGGCAGTTCAGTGCACATGGCACAGGCTGGTGCTATCCTGGGAATTCAGAAGTGCAGAACAATGTTCCTGTGTAGCAGAAGGTGATGAGCCTCAGGTGCATCATGCCCCTGGGCAGTCCCATTACAGTACGAGCCATGAGACCATGCATGGCCCTGCTGCACTGGGGAGATGGAGATGCTCCTACAATCCGCACCACACTGCAGTGCCTGGTTTCAGTCTCTGCTCTGCAGGGTCACACTATGCAGCAATGTGAGATGCATACAGGAGTGGAAGCTCTCTGACACCGCAGTAATCAGGCAAGCAAACACGTCAGCTTGGAGCAAGAGCTTAAAAGAAAAGCAGAAAACTAAGTCAAAGGGATCCTACAAGCAGATGGCTCTGCGTTTGCCTCATTTAGTATCTCCAGCTCCTCCCTGAATGACAATTGCGGCTGTGGAATTTCTGAAGATAGGAAAACCTTAGTCCAAAGCTTGCCTTAGGCATATAAAGGTCAAGGTATCCTCAGCGTTAGAAGCAGCACCTCTCTGGAGAACTGAGGTGTCATACATGTGTAAGTCTTTAACTTGTGCTATTTACTCAGGCATCCTCCAGAGACTACTAATTAATGTGGAGCTCTGGGGCACAAAAATATTTTGATCTAGGCTGACCAAAGCTCCTCCTCGTTTATATTAAGAACTGTTTTTTAATATTAGATGTGCTCATTTCATTTTCCAATTCATTCTCTCTACTGCCAGTGTCTCTGATCTGCTGCTTCTAATGATGCCAAGCATCATCCTCATGAAAATTCACATAATTTGGTAGTCAGTAACAACAATAAAGGCAGCTGCATCTAGGCTACAACCCTGCAGGTCTGGGGGATCTCAGGCCCTGTGAGATATAAAACAGTTTTGAAAAATTTCTTCTCAGAAGGAATGGTTATGCAGTGCTATAGGCAGCCCAGGAAGGCAGTAGAATCACCATCCCTGGAGGTGTTCATGGGCCATGGAGTTGTGGCACAGAGGGACATGGTCAGCAGGCATGGTGAATATGGGGTTGTGGTTGCAGTAGATGATCTTAGTGCTCTTTTCCAACCTTAATGATTCTACATGCAGAGTAGAGATGTCACTTGACATCAGGTGAGCACTGTAGTTTCTCCCATGCTGCCAGTGTTTTGCTCCATGATTTTCACCAGTCATTTTCCTGGTCTTTGTCAGAAGTGGTGAGAATGCCACTTTCCTGGGATTTGAGGTCTCTGAATATAATTCAGTAACCATTTGTACGTACTAAGACTTTGAAGGAAAGACTGAAAATGCCACCTCAGTTCAAGTGCTTAAACACACTGGGTTTGCCTAAGGTGGTCCAAGAGTCAGGCTTACATAAATCAACACTTTTCAGAGGAGGAGAAGAAAACAATACAGGATAAAGGTAAACTTTCTGCACTTGAGAATGTTTCTCCCCTGTTCCCTCAGCTGTGCTATACTATATATTATCACTGTCATCAAAAGGGGTGTGTGTAAGAACTTGAAAAACCAAACGAACCTGTCTGCAAGGTGTTCCGTATATCACAGTCCCACAGGTGGCTTTATTTCCAAGCACCAGGCTGTGCTGCTGCTGCCTCCTGCTCCCCCTGGCTCCCAAGACTGCTTCTGGATTTAGCTGCTGCATCGGGAGTAAGCACCCGCCTGCAAGTAAGCTCCATTTCTTTCTTGAAGTCGCTGTTTTCAAAAGAGCTGTCAGCTGCCAAGGTGCTTTAGTTGTGATGATTTATCAGGCACTCAGCTGATGTACTGCCTGCCACTTTTGTTGTGCATCACCTCCTTTCTTAATGATAAACAATTGATTGGTTTAATGAATTAATAGAGGAGACATGCGTAAACCTCAACAAATGCTTTTTAATAAATTAACTATCTAGGCCTGTCTCATTAAATCAGAAGAGAACGTTTGCAGTTTGACAGCTAATTAATTGCTTCTTCCAATCAGTCACCAGCTGGGATAAAGCCAACATTGTAAAGTTCCCCTTTTGTTTAAACACATGAATGCCTCTTCCCCTTTCTGTTTCCCAAAAGTGGATTTAAGTGGATACCCATATGTGTATCTAAGCAGCACCAGCTAACAGTGAAATGTCATTCGACGTGACCCAAACCAACATCCTGTTTGCATAACGTATTTGAAAAGAGATTACCTTTGTTAGTGATGTTAAGAATTAACATTATTTTCTGGAGCGTACATAGATCTGTATAGGAGCAACTGCATATAAGCTGCATGTGGGTAAAACAGGATTTTTCCTTCCTAAACGGCTTTTGCTACCTGTCACAGCACACAGCCAAGCTGTTGGATGTCAGGCTGGCAGCTCTGCCCCACACCCAGGAGCCCAGGCCCAGTGCTCAGTGGGAGCTCAAGCTGCCCTTCCTCTCACGGAACTGATTTCCCAGCTTGGATAAATAATTTTCCTCGCAGGGAACTACAAAATCAAGCATGTGCCTCATTCAGATCTTTTCTAAAACCAATGGCTTTGGATCTGTTTCAGACCGTACTTTGCTCTCTCTAGTTCATCCATCATCCTGGGTATCATTCTACCTTGTGCAAATCTACTTTCCATCTTGGAAAAATCATCATGAAAATTCACAAGCCAGGCACTGAATCTACTAATCTGTCATTAATGTTTGCATCGCGATGATGAAAACAATAGCAACTTCATCTTCTCTCTGGGTTAAGTCTTACCCAGATGGAGAAATAATTATAGTCTTCAAAGGTAATCTATTCTTTTCTGTAAGCCATTACTATTTTCAACTTTTTTTTTCTACTAGAAGCACTAGCCTAAAAAAAATGCAACCAACAAATGGTTTTTACTGTAAAGAGGATGTGTCAATCTTATCGTCCTCTCATCTTTTTCATTTGTGTTTCTAGCAAGCTTGTGAAACTGTCAGAAATTATTTTCTGCTGATAAGCAAAAGAAATATACAGTAAAATTCTATCTTTGATGAATTTTAGGGGAAAATTGTTTTGAGAAGGACGGGGATTTCATTCCAGATATTCTTGTCTCTATGTGAAATCTTATTTATGGGCAGACCGGTGTCAAGAGTGGGGGAGATGCTTTTCCAGGTTAGCTTAGCAATCATTCTTAAGGCACATTTCTCCAATTACCTGCAGAGATATTTTATTCACTTTTCCAAAATTGAGTTGGCTCTGGGGGTTTTCTTTCTGCTTGTTGGGTTGGTACCAGGATGTGTGTATTCACAGCCAGGTGATCACTGTGCCATTTGGAGATGACTGTCACGGGAAAATAGAGTGTGCTGCCTGCCAAGGGAATGGTTGGGAACGTTATTGTCACTGCACGTGTCCTGGATACCTCTTTCTTTCCTGTATTTCCAATTTAGCACAGCTAAACTGGAATCACCTACTGCACAGATGGAGGTACTTTTCTAGCACTGTCCTGTCATTACTGAAGTGAGTTATCAGTGATTCGTAGTTCTCCCTGCCTTCTTCCCTGTTCCATGAGCTCCTATCCAGCTCTTCTGCGTGTGCCTGTCCTGCCACCCCTTGGTGATTAATGAGTGGTGAAATTCTGCTGAAGTTTATTAAAAAAAAAAAAAAAAAAAAAAAATCCCACTGATTTCAAGAGCCTCAGAAGTGTTTTTTTCTGTTGTGGCAAACAGTAATTTCCATTTGCA